AAACGTATGCAAGACTGTTGTCAAAATTTGTGTTGAAATTTTTTTTAAGTGTGCTATGTTTTTAACTTGTTTATATATGCTTGTATAGAAGCAATCTTTGTAAACACAACCTTGTAATCAAACTGTTGTTTGTATTTCCTTAAGGGATCAGTTAGGTCAGAATCCTTGAGAAGACATAAACTGTGTGTCTTTGTGGTTTGTTAGTCACTAGCGATTGCTAGTATAGTTGTAATCAGTTGATTATAGTGAACCAGTATAAAAATCGAAGCATATTTCTCTTTGTTGTTGAATAGCTATGGTGTTTATTGAGTAGATAAAAAGCTTTTGTTTTTGAAAACCTCAATTCAAACATCACATTTCTTTTCTTGTGTTTTTCTCACCTTCACATATGACTAAAATCATAAATTTTAATGTATCACTTTACCACTTTAAAAAACAACATTTAGACACACACCACTTAGACAAACAGACAAGCACCCGACAACAAACAATCTCATATTCCATTATTTCAAACAATAACATTTTGTATAATAACACATCAAAAACTTGTATATTTTTTTAAATTTATAATAACTTCATTAACATCCACCACAAAAATGTTACAACATATCTTATAATATTTAAATGAAACTATATATATTTTTTAAATAATTATTTATCGCTTTAACAAAAACACTACAACACCAACAAAAGAAATTAATGCTGCTCATGTATTCTTAATGAAATTCAAATATCCAAAATCAAAATTCATCCTTTATTTCATATAATAAAATAAAAGTGTATCTAAATCTATATATATATATATATATATATATATATATATATATATATATATATATATATATATATATATATATATATATATATATATATATATATATATATATATATATATATATATATATATATATATATATATATATATATATATATATATATATATATATATATATATATATATATATATATATATATATATATATATATATATAAATGTTCAAAATAGGTAAGTAGAAAAATTTAAAATCAACCACTACAAAATATCATATTTCTAAAATTGAATTCCATTGGTCAAATAACATATAAACTGATTTATATCAATATTCACATAAATAAGGGTAACAAATCTATATCATGCATAAATACAAAAATATAATAATTTATTATTTATTTAAATTATGATATATAACATACAATTATACGAAAATATATATTTTCCTTATTATTAATATAAATCATTTTTTATAAGTGATGACTCTTATGAACAAATTTACATGTGAAATATTTGTGTTTTATTTTTCTCTTAATAGGTATGTACCACTCTTTGAAAGTGAAAATAAATTTTTAAATGAAATAAGTACCAAATACATTGAAGAGACAAGAATGAGAAATTGATTTTGCATTAAGTGTAAAGTATCAATGAGAATTAATTTCTTTTGACCATTTGAATTCAAAAGAAATTATTATCATAATAAAATAAAACAAACAATAATAAAATTTTAATTGGCATATTAGACATGTAGCTACCAACTTTTGGAAAAATCTAGGTAAAAACTAGAATAAGATACAATCTAATATTCATTGGAACATTGGCAATAGAAAGATAACCAATGCATGGACTGATTCGTGGATTCCCTCGTGAGTCCTTAATGATGTCAAAATTCATAGCCATCACTACCATTAATCTGTTAAAGTTGTTGATCTTGCTATAGAAAATAGTGAATGGATCTTCGATCTTCTTACTCATATGCTTCCTCTCAACATTGTCGAAGAAATTATGGACATCCAACCACCTAGATCTAGCAATGGTGAGGATGTTATCTTATGGAGAGGCACAAAGAATGCAGATTTTCTTTTTGTTAATAGTGTGTATCAAATGTTCAATTCTCTCAATAGTGATAATGAGCAAAGCAACATTTGGAAAAACATTCAGTCCTTGAAGTGTCTTGAAAGGATTAGAGCTTTCATTTGGCTAGTCAAGCATGAAAGCCTCACCACAAACCTCGGTCTTAGTAAGATGCACATAAGAGAACCCTCTTGTAAGGTGTGCGTAGAAAAAATTGAAACAATGTTACATGGTTTGACAGACTGTATTACTAATAAACTAGTTTGACTCACTCTTGTCAGAGATTGATGTTTTAATATTTAATTTGAAGCAGGTTTAGAGGACTGGATGCAGATGTGTTAAGTAAGTGTGAGTAGTGTAGATAATAGTCCCACATTGGATAGGAATATGGTGACATGAGCATTTATAAGTGGGAGAATCCATAGACCTACCACCTTAAGGTTTTGAGTGAGTATGTGGTGTGTCTCTCACAAAAGTGTGACCCCACAATTGAGGCTTTTGTTTAAGGATGAGCATTGTGGAAGCATTATGGATAAAACTCACACGCCTCTCATAAAGGTGTTGCTCTATAAAGGTAGTCTCACAATATTCAATGCTCTCAAATAAAAATCTCCCCTAACAAGATGAATATTCAAATAAAAATCTCCCCTAACAAGATGAATATGCAGTTTAATATTGGCCATGGAGAGCTCGAGGAGTGGAATACATTGATCCTTTTGTTTAAGGATGAGCATTGTGGAACTCACACGCCTCTCATAAAGGTGTTGCTCTATAAAGGTAGTCTCACAATATTCAATGCTCTCTAATAAAAATCTCCCCTAACAAGATGAATATGCAGTTTAATATTGGCCATGGAGAGCTCGAGGAGTGGAATACATTGGGGGCTACAACTTGTCACTCTTTGGTTTTGGCCTAACAAAAAGATCCACGATGATACTTTTGTTATGCATACTCTCTTGGATGATGATATTATAAGCAAGTTCCAATTTTTAAATATAAGCATAAAGATACAACAACGTTTGATAATCAGGAAGAAGGTTTTACTTCACATTAGGTGGTAACCTCCATAGGAGGATTGGACTTTGATCAATGTTAATGGTGTTTCTAAGAACAACGGGAAAAATGGTTGTGGTGGGTTTATCCAAGACAACTTAGGCAAATGGGTTGAAGGTTTCTCCAAGAATATCAGAGTTTGTAACAGCCTTATAGCCGAGATGTGAGGACTCCTTGAGGGACTTAAATTTACTCTAGAGAAGGAATACAAGAAGATTGAACTTCAGACTGACAACAAAGTAATCACCGAGGCAGTTAACAAAAGGCCTTTAAGCATCAAGGAAAGTAGTGCTATTTTGCACCAAATAAAACTTTGGTTGAATGAAGATTAGAAAGTTATAATAAAGCATATTCATAGGTAAGTCAATCATTGTGCAGATGTTATGGCGAACAAAAGTCTACGATATAATATTGACCGAAAGATTTATCATGATTACCCAAATGATCTTGTTAGATTAATTGCAAATGATGTCTCTCTCCAAAATTATAGCCATTTAATTTTCTTTCTCATACGGGCTTCAACCCTCTTAATTCCATAAAAAAAGACAATTAATATTTTTTATTATCATTATTAATATTTTTCTTTGTTAGTTTTGAACAAAAATTACATGTAATAAAATTTTGTCTAACTTTTTAAAACAATTGATCAATAAATAATTTTTTGACACATCTTTAATCAAATTTAAAATAAGAGATGATAACTCATGGTTAAGATCTTGAGATTATAATCCCAAAAAACAAAGTCCATTCATTCATATATATATATATATATATATATATATATATATATATATATATATATATATATATATATATATATATATATATATATATATATATATATATATATATATATATAATATAATAATTAAAACAATATTTTTTAAATTTCTTACAAATTTGTTTTTGACAAATAGAACTAACTATATGATTAGAATACATAACATAAATCTTTTTGTTTCTGTTGTATTTTGATTAGCTAATTTTAATTAAGAAGACAACATAGTTGTTGTTATTTTAATTCAATATAAATATTATAATATTTTTAAATTTCTTAACTCTAAATTGTAAAAAAAAAAGTTAAAATCTAACTGTGAAGGTGGGACCCATGTTAAAATTTCTTTCCATTTTCTATAATGCAACCAAACAAAAGAAAATGCTAGTACATTCTTTAACCTTTCTCTCCTCCCCTTTTCTTTCCTTTTAAATTCCACAAAACAAAACATACAATCATCATTCAGATCTCTACCACTCTGAATTTCATCCCAAGAAACAAGATTCTCATTCATAAACCCATTGCTTCTTCTTCAACATTACTCGAACGACACACCCTACAATTGTTTATTGTTTAATCAACAATAAACAATTACTCTTCAATCAATAACAAAATCCAACAACAACATAGTTTACTGTCGTTGTTTCCGGTGACTCTTGTCGGGGATTCTCTCTCTTTCAACGCATTCATCTGATTCCTCTCTCTCTTACTAGATCTACCTTCAAAAGGGTACAAATTTTTATGGCCCTTTTCATGATTTATGCTTTATCTGTTGAATGTGTTGGATTTGTTTAGGTTCCTATAGTTTTTGAGGTTTTCACTTCATAGTGTTTTTTATTTTTGTTTTTATTCTATTAGTTTATGATTTTACTTCATTTTCTTGCTATTTGGTTTGATTATCCAACTGGGTCACTTTCTAATGTGAAAAGTAGGTTTTTTTATTTAACCATGTCATTGGAGGATTCATGTTTCTAGTTACCCAAGATGGAGATTTCAAATGGGGTTTGATTTTATGAATGATATTTCACTGTTTGAGAAAAAAAATTGATGCTTTTCAAATTGGGATATTTTTAGTATTGTGGTTTAGTGAGAATTGAGATTCTTATGAGCAATTGCCACTGTTGTCAAATAGTGGTTATACCGGTGCTCTATCGCGATGTTAGTACAAAATATTGCGGCATTTGCGAAGTGGAGATTTGAACACATTGCTATTTTCTGCTTTTCGTGATTGATGATATTGGCAAGGGAAGGTTTGCTTAGTGCTGATTTTGTTGTTTTTGCTAGATTCAGAAGGTGAGATTAAGAGGTTTTGTGACTTTGTCATTGATGGCACTTTCGGTTTCTCGGGCTATGTCGAAGGGCGTAGTGATGACAGTGCCTGTTCTGATTCTCACTGTTTCGGCGGCTGCTGTTTTTCTGTTCTTCTTGTTGTCCTCTCTCTCTTCTTGCTCATGCCCTTCACAACCTTCAGCCACCCCTGTCAACAATGCGATGAACTCTGATGTTGGTTTGTCCGAGTCTAGTAGTGGTAAGGGTTTGTTAGCAACAAGGAAGGAGGATGTTCAGTGGGTGAAAGATCAAATACAAGCTAATGGACTTCATATGCAAGAAAATGTGCTGCGCAAGGGTATTAATCCTCGCACTAGGGTTCAACAACTCGAGGATCTTAGACAGTAAGACCCTTCTTTTTAACTTGTTTATCTATTTTTATATGTGTGAATGTATAACTTCCCTGTTCGATTACCTGATTATGTTTTATCCCCCGAGTGCAGATTTAAGGGCATATCGCACTACGAGGGCCCTGACTCAAACAATCACACAGCCTTTCCATGCCCCGGGGAACTTCTAGTTGAACAGCACCATAGTAACTACGGTGAACCATGGGCAGGTGGAAGGGATGTGTTTGAGTTTCTTGCTCAAACCATTCAGCTCAGACCAGACTCACAGGTGCTGGAGATAGGCTGTGGCACACTTCGAGTTGGTTTGCATTTCATTCGATATCTAAATCCCGAACACTTTCATTGTCTTGAGAGGGACGAGCTCTCTCTGATGGCTGCATTTAGGTACGAGCTTCCCGCGCAAGGCCTCTTACACAAACGACCGTTGATAGTTAAGGGAGAAGACATGGATTTCAGTAAGTTCGGTTCCGGCATAACGTATGATTTGATTTACGCTAGTGCTGTGTTTCTTCACATGCCTGATAAACTCGTATGGGTTGGAATGGAAAGATTAGCATCTAAATTGAAACCCTTCGATGGACGAATCTTTGTATCACATAATATAAAGTTCTGTTCAAGGATGGGAGGAGACGAATGCACCAAGAGGCTTACGAGTTTAGGACTCGAGTATCTTGGGAAACATACACATGACAGTCTTTTATTTAATCACTATGAGATATGGTTTGAATTTAGACGGTCGAAAATTTAACGTCCTGATTGATTCTCCGAAAAAACACGAGAAGTTTTCAGCTTTGAATGACCTCAAGCCACTAAGCTGCTTTGCTCATTGATCAACATGTCATAATCAACTTAGTGAATTCTTGCTTCCATCCTGAGAGTTGCCAATTTTTCTATTCAGCAGTTCATCGATCTGTGCTGGAAAAGCGAGATGCGTCATTTGTAATTTCGATCGAGGACTCGACGAAGGCAAGAAGCTCTGTATTATATTCAGGGATCTTATTCTAAAAGGGTTAGCATAATATATACTTGGTATTATTGTTTCTATGTAGATTATGATTAGCTGTAGTTGGCAGTCATATCTTCATGCAACTGATTGCTGTTTTACACTTTTTTTTTTATTGAATGAAATGCATGGGGGTCATACTATATATGTGATCCATTTTCAAAGTGAGGGGCCTACTTATGTTTAGGGGTATTTGCGGTACGGTTTGCATGATTTTGACGTTAAAAATCATTCAAACCGTGAGAGAAAAAAAGATGCGGTTTAGTATGGTTCAATTAGTGGTTAGAAATAAAACAAAATGTTAAAAATCATTCAAACCGTGAGAGAAAAAAGATGCGGTTTAGTTTGGTTCGGTTAGTTTTTAGAAATAAAACAAAACCAAAGCAAACCACAACAATGTGGTTTGGATTGGTTTGGTTGATTTGGTTATTTACAAGATTTTTATTGAGTCGTATATACATCTATAGAGAACAACATAACTTTGTGTTTAATAATTTATATATTATCAAATAACAACAAAATTCATCATAATTATACAAAAACATTTCATTGAATTTTACAAAAATAAGAATAGATAAAAGTGAAATAAAAAACATAAAACAGTAGAATAAAATAATATCAAAAATGTTATTATAAAAAAGAAAAAATAGAGGAGAAGAGAGATTAGAGAAGATAAAAAAGAAAGAACATAAAAGATGCAAGATTAGATAAGAAATGTGCGATAAAAATGTAATTGGAAAAAGAAAACAATAGCATAAAAATGATAATATGAAAAATAAAGAACATAAGAGAGGAGAGATTGGAATAGAAGATGTGAGATGTACATGACAAAGAAGATGAGAAGAATGTGCGATACTACTATGAGAAATTTGAGAAGGTTGAAACTAAAATTCTAAGTGTGAGTAAGAGAATATTCGTAAGGTTAAAGAATAATAGGTTTGAGTTTTGGGTTGAATGTGAGATAACTGAAGTTTAGGTTGTAACATAATGCGATTTGGTTTGCTTTAGTTCGGTTTGCAAAATACAAACCGCAAACCAAATCAAACCGTGCAATTTTGTTAAAGAAACAGCGTAAACACATTCGAACCAAATGCGTTTTTTTGTGGTTTCGGTTTGGTTTGATTTGCGGTTTTCTATTGAGTTGGTTTGGTTTTGAACACCCTTACTTGTGTTTCACCCAATAAGAGAGTGGATGTTTGAGAGAATGTTAAAAAGAGTGTTCCGAGCACTTTTCATCATTTGAACCCTTAGGTTCCTCTATCTCCATATTTTCAGTAACTCTAGTACCCTTATGTTTACCGTGAAAATTGGTAAACAATCGTTGGTATTCAAAAAAATTGGTTTACTTGCAGGATCAACCAGTGAATCCTAAGAACATAGCTATTGTCTCAATATATTTCTAGAAAATTGATGAACACTTCGACCGTATATTTGTATAAAAGGTTGTTTTGATTGTTTTTGAAAAAGATAAACTTCGTAAAAGTTTGATAAATATAATTTAATGAAGAAAAGAACTTCAAAGTAAAAGTGCAGTAAAGAACAATTGATAAATAAAAGTAAATTTCTATTGAAATGAAATAAAATGTGGTGTTTTACACATACATTCTCAATAGTAACTCTTTTTCTCACTTGACTTAGATACTTTGAGTAAATTTTGAGTATTGTACAACAAATGAACACCCAGAAATCCTAACATTAAAACTCCTATTTATAATAAGTCGAAATAACTGTCTTTAACGGACATTTTTTCAAAAACTGACACATTTCGTCCTGCATGCTTTCATTTCGCCATAGTTCGCCACGCGTCTCTCTTGAGAAACAGATAACGACAAAAGACAGTTATTTATCCGTATTTTGAATTCAAATCTTTTGACAAAAAAGGCTTCAAACACCCCCTTCGAAATGACTTTCTCGACTTAGAAAAAATATTTCTAAGTATTGTCCAGGCATCCCCCTCATGGAGACTATTTCGACTAAGCTTCTCACAAGCTCTTGTCGAAGTCAGCAAAAACTCAAGAAAACTTGATTTTCACTTAATATTTCAAATGAAAACTTAGTGTCGAAATGCCCAACCAACAAATTGTTCCCCAAATATGTCATTTCCAACTAAATGGAAAAATGACATTTTTTGAAGTTTTACATTCGATGCCAGAGACCTTTAACTGGCTGAATGGGATGCAGCCACTGAGTCCACTGCCAAGGTTACAAAATTGCAAAAGAGTTTTGAACAAAATAAGAAGGAGCATGAAACCTGTGACAAAAATGTCGAAGAATGGGAGCAACAGATCAAAGATCTGCAAACCAATATTTCTCAGGCCAAGAAACGCAAAGTCGAACTTCTGAAGTTTGATCATGACAAAGCGGCGAAAGAACTTGAAGTTGGTATTCACCATGTCGAGAGAGCTCAAAAGCTTAGAAGAGAGATTGAAAAACTTTCAAACAACAAGACTTTCTTCGAACGACGCTTGACACTTTAGAGGTCAAAGTATCAAAATGTGAAGGACTGCCTTTCTTTTTAATTTGTTTGTAACTAATGAACTCGTTTCCACTTAGGAGACCATTTACTAAAAGTTCTAACTTTTTTATCCATGGGTAAGACTACTTTCCAAACTAAATCTCCAGTCGAAAATGACTTAACTTTCACTTTTTTATTATATGACTTTTCTACCCTTTTCTTTTGCATTTTTAATAACTCTAAGGCATTCAGTCTTTCTTCATCTAAATCAACTAATTCGTCCAATATCATGTTCCAATAGGACTCAGATGGGATCTCATGTTGTCTCTGAATTCTAGTTAACTGCAAGTAGATTTTGACTGATAGCACTGCATCATGATCATATGTTAGTCGAAAGGGTGTAGCGTTTGTAGCATCTTTAGGGGGGTTCGACAAGCCCACAAAATTTGGTCTAATGTCTTATTCCAATTTCTTGACTTCTTCCCCACATGCTTCTTAATTAACCCAATCACTACCTTATTTGTCACTTTGATCTGTCCATTAGCCTGAGCATAATAATTCTATTCACTTAGTGAAATAGTCTCAATCCACTTAGTGAAATAGTCTATTCCCACTAGAATGTATTTCTGACTCTTGGATGATGCTGGTTGAATTTCTCCCACTAAGTCTAAAGCCCACCCTATAAAGGGTTAAGGATTCACTATGGAATGTAGTTCGCTTGTAGGAATATGCTGAAAGCCTGCATGCATTTGGCATTCTTTACATCTTTTGGAGAATTTAATACAATCTTTGAGCATGGTAGGCCAATACATGCCTTGTCGAAATAATAACCATTTCATCTTATGACCTACTTGATGCGCTTCACATGCCCCACTATGGACATTAGACAGAGCCAAGTATGCCTCAGACTCACTAAGGCATTTGAGTAAGACACCCTCTGGTGCCTTTTTAAACAATTTGTTCCCCATCAGAACATAACTTAAGGCGCAATATTTAACTTTTTGTTCGACAAAAGCTGTTGGGTTTTGTAAGTAGTATATTATTGGCTTCCTCCAATCTTAGTCTGTCAACCTATGTATAGCCAATATTTCAAAGCTCTTTTCATCAGCATATTCTAGCTTCATTGTTTCTAAGTCCGTTGGGGAGAGTTTGGTTGATGCAACTCTTCCTCTGACTTCGATTGTGTCTTGTAACTTTTCTTTCAAAATTTTGTACCCTGAAGCAATCTGGGCTAAATCATAAGCCTCTTGATTCTCAAGTCGAGGTATATGTCGAATACTTACCACTTTGAATCTTCGCAACAACCTATTGGCTATCACAAAGTACATGATAAGGTTTTCCTTAACATATTTATATTCTTTTGTAATTTGCTTTATGACTAACTTTGAGTCACCCATTATTTTGACTCGAGTTACCCCAATTCTAACAAGATTTCAAGTTCAACGATAAAAGCTTCATACTCAGCTTCTTTATTTAAACAAAGGCCTTCGATCTTGTACTTGAATTTTGTTGGAATTTTGTTAGGAGAAATAATTAGAACTTCTACTCCCGTTCCATCCTTATGACTAGAACCTTCGAAGTATAACTTTCAAGGTTCAAGCTCCACATAATCAAGGGAGTTTTCGACTATAGAGTGGTCGACTATAAAGTCATCTACCACTTGTCCTTTAACAACCTTTAATGGCATATAAGTTAAAGAATATTCAGTTAAGACTAATGCCCATTTTCCAATTCGACTATCCAAAATAGGTTTAGAAAGCATATGTTTAATAACGTCGAAATAAGATGAAACATAAACTTCAACTGACTTTATATAATACTTTGATTTTGTGCAAGAGAAGTATAGACAAAGACACAGTTTTTCGACTATACTATATCTAGTTTCTGCATCATTCAAGACTCTACTAAGGTCATAAATGGCTCTTTCGATGCCATTTTCATCCTCTTGAGCTAACATACTCCCTAAAGTCTTGTCTGACGCAACTATGTACAATCTCATGCTCCTATTTCTACAAAGAGGCACCAGAATTGGAGGGTGATCAAGGTAGTCTTTAATCCTGTCGAATGCTTCTTGTTGTGCTTGCTCCCATTCAAAACCTTCTTACTTGAGTCTAAGTATAGGTGAGAAGACTTGAGTCTTTCCACTTAGGTTGGAGATGAACCTCCTTAGGAAGTTGATCTTTCCTAGTAATGACTGCAATTACTTCTTTGTTGAAGGCGCTTTCGCCTCTATGATGGCCTTGGTCTTTTTATGATTAATATCTATTCCCTTTTTATGGACCACAAAGCC